CATAAAAATATCAGCAGATCATCTATTGCTGTAAAATATACCCTTTTTGCTGGTAAGATATTAAATATCCCGAGATAGCTCAATATCCAGGCACCCAAAGGCACTTTCTTCCATTTCACTTTACGATGGCGTCCTCTCTCACACAGCACAACAGATGAATCATCATTCATGATCACTGTAGCTCTCTAGCTCTCCAGTTGTAAAAAGGTGTGGCTTCTCAGTTGTTAATTAATGCATTAAAAATAATAAATAAATAATAATTGTCACTCCAATACATAAAAACATCTATCACATCATAGTTGACTCCTTGCTTGCCTTTGTAGGAGCATACACCTGATTTCTGCATGAACATGATGAATACAAATCAAGCAATATGAACTATAAATATACTTTGTCTGGGTTTTAAACTTTCTATAGAAATATCTTGCTTCGCCTACAACTAGTCTGCTCAGCATCTAATATAAATTAATACTTGATTAATACCAGCAATATGATAATGTTTTGCCATTTACCAATGATGAAATGAAGCATGAGCCCATTAGAACATAAAATGCACTATTCCAACCCTATAGGTAAGGATTACCAGTAAGAGGGTGTAATTTATATTTAACATACAAAGTAATCAGATACAAATCCAGTTACTAGTGGTCCAAAAGCAGCTCCTAGTGATCCCATACCATCAATGATGGCAGTCACTGTTGCTTTAGCTTTCTGATTCTCTCTCAGTGATTCATGTGTGCCCTGTGTATCACAGTTAAAAATAAACCTTATGGATCAATAGGAGCATACAAGATCGCTAGATACAGCAGTTGTGATGAGAGCATAAGGACCATTAATGAACAGGCCACAAAATATGATTAACGCTGGAAAGAAAACTGAGATAAACTACTCACTATGAATGACTGACTGACCTATTGATGCTCCAACTGATTTAACGCCAAAATATCGATACATGAACAACTGTAAAAATACTTTTTAGGCACGCATCATTAATTTAATAATGACTGACTGTTGGTACAGCACAATAGAGCATTATGACACATGATATAGCTCTTGCATTGATGACATCAGAAAGAGCACCAGTAGTTATACCTCCTATAAACAAGATAGGGAAACGAGTATTATAATTTTCATTATAATCATACTGACCAATTATTCCTCCTACATCATAAAGAGTAGCCAGTAGATCGGCTTTCTGTTCACCAATATACCGCCCACCAATGCCTAACAAATAAATGAGCTACAGATGACAGAATTAAAATAATATACTTACGATTGTATGCTACATAGTAAGGCAGCCAGAACAAGAAGGTATAAGCAACCATCTTTGCAAAGAAAAGTGACACAGCAAACTCTACCACTCCCTACAGTAATACACCAATGTAAAAGCATGGATGGATTGGACATACAGGAACTGTCAATGCTCTCAGTAAGCCAACTGCTTTACCTTTAGACTAAAATGAGAATAATAACAAGAATAATAAGACAAACAGAAACAGGTATACCTTTTCAGTATCAGAAGGAGATTTACCTATAAGTGGTGCATTCTCGTCAGTATCATTCTTAACAATAATAATAATAATAATACAGAATGAAAAGAGCATTTACTTCTATAGACAATTTTCCTGATGTCTTTATATTAGTGTCTGCTGTTAGGTCACTTTCTTTCTTGTATGACATTCCATTCTTTTGTGGTCGAGGCTCTTTAATCTGAAATACAATGTAACAGAATGAGCATATATTAATTCATTACCTCATGGTGTTGAGGAGGAGGCAAACCAACATGATGAGGATCTGGGAAAAATTAAAAAATCGGTCAAAACTTAATTTTACATTTGCATAGCAGTAAATGTATAGCAAACATTGACAGTATTTTTTCAAAAATAATTTTACTCTATTTTTACTTATAAACTGTATCAATTTTATCCAAATGCTATTAATAATAAAATAATAATAATAATAATAATGGATTGACTGACCTAAGACCAGGAAAAAGAACATTACACAGCCAACAAAAATCATCACAAATCCTGGAATTAAAAAAGCCCATCCCCTACACAAATACATAATGACAAAAAGAAACTACTGCAGTAAATACTAACCATGGATCGCATTTCTTTGCAAATAATGAAGGGATTGCAGTTCCTAGTATATTACCAACTGATGTGTGGGAGTTCCATATACCCATTAACAAACCACGGTTCTTCTTACCAAACCAATTACCCATTACTGCTACTACACCAGGCCAACCTGTAGACTGGAAATGTATTAGATATATTTAGATGCTTGATGACTGCTGGTTACCTCAAAAACTCCAACAAAAATTTGTATAACAATATAATAAGCAAGATGATGAATATCAGCAAAGTAAGCCACACCCAACATTCCAACAAAGACTCCGCTACCTATGAACACAAAGAGACAGCGAGATAGAGGATTTCTCACAAAGCATGCTAAGTGATGCTTCATGAGCTGACATACATGTATAGTACATGGCATTTTTGAGCAAATTTAAAAATTCATAAAAAAATCAAATTTGATCAGAATAAGCTCAAAGCTGCTATACAACATAAGGACATGTATATGCATCAGAAAAAATTATAAAAATGGAGAATTTTCTTCTAACCATTTTTGACGAAATTTGGCCAAAGACCCTGTACTATAGTACAGGGATTTTGGTCCAATTTTTGAGTAACATTAAAAATTTATACAAAAATTAATTTTAATTGGAATCAGCTCAAACTTGCTACACAACATAAGAACATGTATATGTATCAGGAAAAATTATAAAAATTGAGAATTCTTTTCCAGCCATTTTTGACCTTCGATCTGATTCTTGAGCAGCTAACAACTTTTTTTGAGCAGCATTCTTTCCTAGCCATTGTTGAAAAATTTTTAAGAATTTTGAAGCAACTTAGAAAATTATGATAAATCTAATTTTGAGCAATCTACTGGCAAGAAGGTACAACCCACGTACTTATACAATAGACAATATACCTATCATTCCAACTGTTAAGAAATATCTAAGATTGACACGATCAGCTATAAGTCCACTAAAAAAAGCTCTTATAAACAGCAAAAAATAATGATTAATAATAAGCACCTTGCAATCATGAAAATAGCATAAGTGAATAACCAAGCATAATCTACAGCTCCGATAACAGTTTTACAATAGCTGCCATCTATCAGGTAAAGGTTGATATGTCATACATACAACCTCATCTCTCTCTCTCTCTCTATCTCTTACTGAATGGTGCCCATCCTTCATTGTAGTTACAACCATATTCATATTCTAAGCTGCTCTCATTCAGCTCTTCGAATATATCGTTGCAGTTTGGAGCTAAGACATTCTATTCATTTAAAACAAAACACTGTAGCTCAGAAATATGACACACTATATAAGCAATAAAAAGCATTCTGACATGCCGCCATGATTGTCACATGTTCATCACATTAGCAAGTGTACAATTATAAAGGCAGAGTGTGCCTTGCATGTGGATAGCATGCTGATAGTGTATGCTATCACTTGATTCACTTACTGCAACAACACTGAAAGGTTTTCTTGACATGTGATACGATGCATAGCATATGAATGTCAGTATTAGAATGTAGAGCCTGTAACTATGGGCGGGTGGGTGGAAGAAGAGAAACCAGCTAAGTGTGAACAAGCCCTCTACATGGCTTACTTTTTAGCTGGTAAGATATTAAAGACTCCTAAATAGCTTAAGATCCGAGCACCCAAAGGTACCTCCTTCCATTGCACCTTATTATGGCATTTTCCTTCAGAGCAAGACCCAGTTACAGGACTTTTTCTGTTGTCCACTTCATCTTTGTTGTCCATTTTATAGCTCTGCAGATCTGAAGGGTGTGGCAGTTTAAACGGTTTATTAATTCAAAAGAAACTTAACATATTACACAGCTTATAAATAATGCAGCTTAGAGGATGCTACTAAAATAATAGAGACTTTAGTATTCAGGCCTGCCTGACAAATAGTCTTAAAATTTATTGAATCAGCAGCACTGATTGCAGCACATTTCAAACAATGGTAGAACAGGTCCTAAGACCTTCCTGACACTTGCATGAAATGACCTAAATTCAAACATGTAGATTATTATAGCTTGTAATATAATGTATACCTTATTTTTTGACTGTTTGAATAAAGTTTCAAATAGAAATACTTTGTTTCACTTATGATCAGTCTAGTTAACATCTATAGCAATGCATTATGCAGTTGATAATGCTATCTATAGGAGGTGTCATTTATACTTACAAGGGAAGAAATGAAACATGAGCCCATTAGAACATAGAAGGCACTATCCCATCCCTATAAGGATATATATCTATCAATTGCAAAATCAAGATTTATGATGACTTACAAACTGGTCTGATATAAAACCAGTTACTAGTGGCCCAAGAGCAGCTCCCAAGGATCCAGTGCCATCAATGATGGCAGTCACTGTTGCTTTAGCTTTCTGATTGTCTTTCAGTGATTTATGTGTGCCCTATAAATACCAGTTTATAAACAATGAGAGGAAATTTTAAAAGTAACATACAAGATCTCCAGAGACAGCAGTTGTGATAAGAGCATAAGGACCATTAATAAACAGGCCACAAAATAAAATTAGAGCTGTTAAAAGGAATAATCCAGTACAATTATGAATACAAAATTTATAGGACAAACCAATGGAAGTCCCCAGTGATATGCCACCAGCAAAGCGATAGGCAAACAGCTAAAAATGACCATTAGTCATTCATGATGATACAATAGCATTAATCTTACAGTTGGTACAGCAAGGTACATCATTATGACACATGATATAGCTCTTGCATTGATGACATCAGAAAGAGCACCAGTAGTTATACCTCCTATAAATGAAGCAAGTATTGTAATTGTACTATTTTAATAATCACAATTATTACCAACAATCCCTCCAACATCATAAAGGGTTGCTAGCAAATCAGCTTTCTGATCTCCAACGTAGCGTCCACCAATAGCTAAAAAATTCTTTTTAAAAATGCTCAAAAATGCAATTTCTTACTGTGATATCTGACATAGTATGGTAGCCAAAAGAGGAAAGTGTAAGCAACCATTTTTGCAAAGAACAGTGATAAGGCAAACTCTATCACACCCTGTAAGAATAATCAGAATCATCAACAAAACTAATCAATTTTACATACAGGAATAAGTGCAGCTCTCCATAAACTGATTGCTTTTGGTTTCTTGTCAACATCCTAAATTATGATGCATAATACAAGATAACAAAATTTAAATTATAATGTTATACTTGGATAGAACCTAAAAGAGGACGATGCTCTTCATCAGATAACTCAGATTCGTCCTAAGAAATCAACAAAATCATTAAAAAATTTTTTTGTTTTTTCATACTTTTATTTCATTTGTTTTCGGATCATTTAAAGGCTTAATTGTAGGTTCTTTCTTGGCCTGCAAAATAAAGACAGGGCATATCATATCAGTGAAGTATTATTTATACCTGGTCCTGGTGATGTTCAGGAGGTGGCAAGCCAACATCCTTGGGATCTATAAATGTAATTTTTTTTATAAATAGTAGACTAAGTCCTTTCAAACTAACATACCAAGAACTAGGAAGAAGAACATCAGTAATCCAACAAAAATCATTACAAATGCTGGAACCAGAAAAGACCATCCCCTTTATAAAATAATTAGAATTACATACATAATATTTCCTGCATGTCCTGCTAGTCAAATGAGACTAACCATTCATGACAAGGCTTTGCCCATATAGAAGGAACTGCAGTTCCCAGTATATTACCGACTGATGTGTGAGCATTCCATATACCCATTAACAAACCACGGTTCTTCTTACCAAACCAATTACCCATTACTGCTACTGTAGCTGGCCAACCTGTAGACTGGAAACAAAATTTGCAAAAATTGTATATAATAAGTTTGTGATTTTTACCTCAAACATTCCAACAAAAACTTGTACAATGATGAAAAAAGGAAGAAAATGAATCCCAGCAAAGTAGGAGACACCTAGTAGACCTACAAGAATACCACACCCTAAAAAAACAATCTCCGTTATAGAAAGGATACAGCTGCTGTGCATAATACCCATCATTCCAGCAGTTAGAAAATAGCGTAAATTGACACGATCAGCTATAAACCCACTAAAATATAAAAAATTATTATTGTATTGATATATTTATTTATACCTTGCAATCATGAAAATAGCATAAGTGAATAACCAAGCATAATCTACAGCTCCAATAACAGTTTTACAATAGCTGCCATCTATGCAATAACACATGCAGTGATCATGATCATTAATTTAGACATGCTCACTAAATGGTGGCCATCCATCAATGTATTCACATGATTCGTTACCGGCATTGCTATTGTTGCTCAAAAATAGAAAGTCTTCAAAGTCACTTTCATTCTCTCCTCCTCCTCCTCCACTGTGATGGTGCTTGCATCCTGGAGCTAGAACACTCTGTAAAAAAAACAGAAAAAATGCATATACTGATGTACAAACACTGACTGCTCATTTACGTACTGATACAACACTGAACGGTTTTCTTGACATGTGATACGATGCATAGCATATGAATGTCAGTATTAGAATGTAGAGCCGATAGCTAACAAAGAGGAAAATAATATTAAACTCATTGCATGACTTTAGTAGACACAATATCATACCTCTTAGTTGGAAAGAGTTTGAAGACGCCAATATAGCTTAAAAGCCGAGCTCCTAAAGGAACTGTGTTTAATTTCCCTTTAGAATGCTGATCATTCTCCCATGGCCCGACGGAGAGAGTGCTTTTGTAGTCTTTATCCATTGAATCTCTGGTTGCAAGCAGCCTTCAGCAGGCTTAGGGCGTGTGCTACTATGCATAGTCTGCAAGGGCGTGGCTGCATGCTTTTAAATAAGATGATTAACATTATAAAAGGTATCATTACAATAAACTAATAGTAAAAGTTGAGATAATAAATCTCAGTCTTCCATTAATCTAAAAACATACAGATGCAGATTATAATGACTCAGAGTGAGGAGGATAAAATTTCATACCTGTAGAACAATACCTAAGACATGTATAACAATGACAATATCTTCTATATAATTCTATAATTTCTTTAATGACTAGTCTGGTGAGCAACTAAAGAGGAATAAAAGAAATAAAAGCTTAGAACAAAATCCTTTTTGCTGGTACACAGCAGTGACAAACTCTTACCAATGCAGATACAAAAGAAGATACCATCAATAGGTAGAAAACATTATCCCAAGACTAGATAAAATATAATAATCAGAAGGTCCACCAGGTACATTTGCGCTTACATGTTTTGATATAAAACCGGTCAACAATGGACCAATGGCAGCACCTAAATTAAACAAATAAATAATCATACAACTATCACAGAAGAGGTATAACTAACCTACAGAGCCTGTTCCATCAATAATGGCTGAAACTGTTGCCTTAGCCTTTTGATTACCTTTAAGATCTTTGTGTGTGCCCTAGAGTAACACAAAGAAGGAGAGAGACACAAAAAGTAACTTGTTAAAGGCTACATGTAACATTCTTACCAGGTCATTTGACACAGCAGTGGTAATGCAAGCATAAGGTCCATTGACAAGTATACCACACAATATCAATAAACCTAACACAGTGAGCAGAAAGGAAGAGTACATGATGATCAGGGTTTCCCTCAAATGAGCTAAACAGCATTTTGAGTAACTTTTAAAATTCATAAAAAATCCAATTATGATCAAAATCAACTCAAACTATCGACACAACATAAGAACATGTGTATCAGAAAAATTATTAAAATGGAGAATTTTTTATTCATTTTTGCAAAATTTGGCTCAAGAAAGGGGTACAGGGTCTTTGGCCACTGACAAGAAGCTGCATAAGCACTAAGCCAAAGTTCTGTGCACATTTCATAAAACTTACTTATAAATACTGCAGAATCGTAATTCCCAAAATGGTGAAGAATGTACAACTATATAAATATACACATTTTAGTATGTTTAATGATTATTATTGTAAATGGCTTACAGCTGGTACTGAGATATAAAGCATTAGTGTACAACTAATGGCACGGGCATTGAGCAAATCAGAAATGACACCTGCTGTAATACCGCCTAAAATAAAAAAGTAAAACATAAATAATAATTTTGCATAAAAACTTACCAACAATGCCACCAACATCAAAAAAAGTTGAAAGAAAGTCAGACTCTTTACTGCCTAGGCATTTACCACCGATCTCTATATCATAATAAGTAAATCAAAAAGACGTCATTAATTGTACCCACGTCTGTTTCGAACATAATAAGGAAGCCAAAAGAGGAACGTGTATGCAACTAGCTTGGAACAGAACAGAGCAAGTGAGAATTCAACCACACCCTATGAGAATGAGAGAGGAAAAAGAGAATAGAGATAAAGAAATTTGAAAAGCAAGATAAGAAAACATGTCACATGAGAAGTTGAGAACAATACTATCAAGGGTTACATACAGGTATCATTAAAGCCTTCACAATACCAATGGCTCCATCATCGTTACCAATTAGGACATTGTAACCAGCATCCTGAATAAAGAGTGCAATGCATATCATTGAGTGATCAGCTCAGCTATCTCACTTTAGCTAAACTGGTCACACTAGCCTTCCTTTTATGAGTGTTCTTGGTTTCGGTATTGTGCTCTTTATTTCCCAGTGGATCAAATCCATTAGCATCTTCTACAATAATCATAAACCTAATGATGTGCTAAATGAACACATGCTCCTACCATTAATGGTGACTATTGCTCCATTTTCATGATTAAGTGATCCAGTGTCTCCTTTCTCATCATCTCTATAACGTCTGGACTGTGACTGGATGTATAATGGGAAAATTACAATAAAAATATTAAAAGTAAAAGTATAACATACAGCTATGTACACTATGCAATAATTAACTGCACAGCTTGAACTTGTAATTGTATAATGAAAAAATTAGAAAATAACCCAATGAGGCTTTAAGTGCATGTGTACATACACATGCTCATTCATTTAATCTCACACCCATTTTATCATCAACTCACAATATGATGTTTTGGCGGCGTCTGTCCTATATCAGTTGGATCTATGTAGTAGTTAGTTAATATAAAATAACAAAAAATAATGATAAAAATCACTAACCTACTACAAGGAAAAAGAAAACTGCCATTGCAACCACAAGCATAATTAAAGCAGGGACAACAAAAGCCCAACCCCTATAAAAAATGAACACATTTAATATAATCCTACAGGACATAGGGCAGTACCATGGTCTGCCAGGTTCCACCCAAAACGCCGGTATGACGGTACCCAAGATGTTACCGACTGACGTGTGAGCGTTCCACACGCCCATGAAGAAACCACGCCTCTTTATTCCGAACCAATTACCCATGACAGCCACGGTACCAGGCCAACCGGTAGACTGAGGAAGAATTAGAATGTAAAAATATAAAAAATGTGAAAATATAAAAAAGAGGGAGCTAGATCTTATGTCTCCACCTGCATAATTCCACTAACAGCCATCCATATAAGAAAATAATAAAGATGATAAATTTTAGCGAAATAAGCCACACCCAGCATTCCAGTACTTATAGCACTTCCTATGGTGTGAAAGATGCTAATAGCTAGAAATGAAGGAGTTGGATATTACATACCAATCATTCCCACTGTTAGAAAGTACCTCAAATCTACTCTCTCGGCAACTATGCCACTGAAAATAGTAAGAAATGAAGGAACAGAAAAGAAAGAAAAATTTATGAGACATGGGAGAAAATAGAGAAGGAAAAATGTCCCAAACAGGTTTCAGTTTATATACAAAAATCAACAAATGCTTTAAAATGTCATTCTCAAGTAACAGATAATGTTAACAACATCACTTACATACCAAATACACTTGTACACATATGTGACTACATATACATATACAATAGAGAGGGGGAGAAGTACATAAAATGATGGACACTGACCTTCCAAATAAAAATAAGGCATAAGCAAAAGACCACACATTATCAACGATACCAAAGAGTGCCTCACAATTGGTCTCATCTACAAAGTAATAACAACATCAATTAATATAGTTCATTATGGGTATTGTACACACTATGATGTTTAGTAAACAGCTGCTACACAATGCAACAAATAGGAATCAAGTTGTGAGTTAACATTCAATTTACACCTCAAAAACTACGTCATTATGATTGAAATATTATTAGAATTGAAATATGTGTATGTTACATACTGAATGGTCTCCAGCCTGTATCATTTTGTGAACCAGAATCGCTGGCACAGTTACCAGTTTGATGTGTTGAACAATCAGGACCCAAAGTACTCTGCAATGAAGAACAAAGAGGATATTATTACTGTATGCTAAATAGAGAGAGAGGAAGGATGCTAAGAGGAAGAATGGGACAATGAAGAGTATAATATTTCATAAGGTCATGTGATGATTTACACAAAACGATATCAAAAATCAGTACAATAACAATTTATATAGACACACATAATTAATAAAGATCTGTGACACCAATGGAAAGGGACTGACCTTTGCAGCACTGAATGTTTTTCTGGTCATATGATAGCTGGCATAGCATGCAAACGTAAGGACAAAAACAAGAACTTGATAACTAAGAACACATTCAATATGATCTATGATAAATTTAAGATAATTTTTTTCTTTTTTTTTTTACCTCCTCCTCGGATACCAGCTGATCACAGGTAAATAGCTCAGAAGCCACGCACCTAGAGAGATCCTCTTGGTGTTAATTGTTAATGGGTCGAGGCCTATTGGGCGTTGATGAATAAGCCTCTCCGTTTCACGGTCAACTTCAGCTAGGTTCCTTCTCATGGTCAGGGTAGTTCAGGTACGCCTGCTCCTGCTAAGCTGCTCTTGCTCAATGCTCCTGCCTATTGCAGACTCGAACTCGCTAGCTTGCTTTCTAGTGCATGTGACCAAAATGATGTGAAAAATGAACCAGAAAATCGAACGAAAGAGGCGGAGACAGCATCACAGCATAGATATCTATGATCAGTTTGATCACAGCAATGCGCAATTATCTTTTTTTCGCGCCAGCTAGCTAGCGGTAAATTTTCACGTGATCTCTCTGACGTTGTATACGTATTTAATTTTCCTACTCAATCCCCCGCCCACCCGCGGCCCCAGCATGTCCCCCACGTGATCCCGGGGCCCATGTACGTGTGGGAGGGGAGGAACTGATGCTATCGATTATGGTACCTCATCGCTCAGAGTTATAGCTGTCCTTCTTGAGGATATTGATTCTACTACAGGGGACCACTGCTGCGAGTTCATCCTATAGATGCTAGTAGCTGTTACACATCCTCCATTTATTAAACACGGCCATTGCCTGAGGACTCACTGTGCAATACAACTCTGCTCCCCCAATTATCTTCATTACTAAAGTGCAACCAAAGAAAAGAGGCGGAAAGCAGGGTCACCACCATATCACTAAACTGTACATACTTTAAATCCCAGGTGAGTCAGAGGCAGAGAGAGAGATGGAGAGAGAGAGAAGTACATTTTTTGTTTATTATAATGTGTGGCAAAGTTTTTGGTAACAGTATGTATTCATCATTGAGTAGAATAGACTTGATCTCTTCTCTATCTACCATACACTCAATTGCACAGCATCATCCAATACTGCTCCATATAATACAGTCAGTAGTATGTACATTGTATCATGTACAATCATTTCCCTGCCAATGGGATGCCCATTAGTTGTAATTATAAATATTCCATCACTGGTTGTCCTTAGCATAGCTAGAGAGTGAGACATAAAAGGCTCCCAAACAAAATATTCAACAGCTGCTATGTTGTATCTTTTGTTTATAAAATGTAAGTATATGTACTGCATATTAGTAGATTGTATGGGTCATGTCACAATATTGTACATTATCAATATTTACACTTATACTTTTGATCTCTCCCTATCTCCCATTGCCTCCTTCCTCCTTTTTATTAATGTAATTTTTATCTGTTGACTATATGGACTAGTATTGCATTTGATGTAGAGTGTTTATATATATACATGTATGTGGTGTTATCCACCTGTTTCTGTGTGCATATAATACATATGGCCTCTTATCCTTAATTTCCACCTTTATGTATAATGACTATACTATTGGGTATGTTCACTATGTGCATGGTACATACTGTAACATAATTATTTGTGCAAGTGAGAGACAGAGTTTTACAATTTACAGTTATCTTGTTGCAGTTACAGTAGACACACTGATTGTTATTACTATCCCACAGTCTTTATAACACTAATGGGAGTCACCCTCTAGCTCTCTCTGTCTCTCTCTCTCTCTCTCTCCCTTTTTCTTTCTCTTTCTCCCCCTTCTTTATCTCCATTTAAGCAGTGTGTGTGTGTCTGTGTGGGCATACTTAGTAGTATTGGGTAAAAACCATTCCTCACAGTTCTAGTAACTTTATTTTGTTTTGATTGACTTAAATCATCTCCCACCTCACTCACTCACTCTCTCTCTCTTACTCTCTCCCTCTCTTAATTCTCTTAGTCTTTCTCTTTCTGTTTTACTCTGTTATCATCAGCCTTGGGATATGATGATTATATGCATTGGATATACATGTACTCTAGTGATAATACTTCATTATCCTAGCCCCTTTCCTTCCTTTTTTCCTTCCATGTGAATATTATATGATTAATTATGCTTATGCCCATTATTATACTGTATATATGTATGTCTGTATCTTGTATCATAATAGCAGGGAGGTCCTCCTCCTTAATTTATGATCCATCCAGCTGCTACATGGTCTATAACTTTTAGTTTATCTACTAATTGTACCAACATTAACCTCCCACACACATTATCACAGCAATCACTCAACAGTGTTGATTTAATTCTCTTTTGTCCATTTATACACATGTACACATCATACACAGTCCATGTACACGAACAACTTTATTAAGTGGTTGAATGAGAATTTGGAGGAGTGCATTTGCTGCTGTTACTATTGATTTTCCTGTGTGTCCCTGAGTGTCCTGTATGTATGCATTTGAATAATGCGAGTTATGTGTATACTTTACTATGAAGTTTTATTGTATCTATAGAGAAGAAAGGGCTGAGTGTGTCCCATGTCTTGTCTTATTGTTGTACCTTTATTGTTTTGAAAATCGCTGGAGCCTTTGACCACACGTGTGATAATGTATGAGGACACAGCTTAGCATATAGACCCTGTATATTATAATGCACACACACATTTACAGCATGTACGGATCAGCACAATTCATGGTATTATATGTTAATGCGCTAAATTGTTGCCCTGTACATACATGTACATGTATCATTTATGCATAATTACTATCAGCATAATTCATCATTACTGAATGTCCATACACTCACACTACAGTATACCCAAACAGTCTCAAAGCACCACAATATTTGCACACACCAAAAACTTAGCTATTCAAAACTTAAACAAAAACAGTTGAGACATTATACATGTATATATGCCATGGGGTGTTATCCTCAGTCAGAATTCCACTGACTGCCTTTATCTACACTGTACATTGTAGCAGCTGCCTCTCTCAGTGTCAGTGTCAGTGGTGTGTCTGTTAGTTAGTATGTGATTAGTTTATTGGAGGTCCTCCATATAATTCATTTCTTTATTGTTTGTTGTGACTGGATGTTAATGATGTGCTAATGCTGGACTCTTTATTTACCTTCTCCTCTCCCTCCCTTTCTTTTAAGTCCTTTTAAAATATGTTCTTTGCTATTTTTATTATTTCATATGATTAATTAATAAATTCCAACACATAATTGCTTTACTTGCATCTATTATTGGTGGTCTCTCTACCAGCTGTATATATACATGTAAATACAGTCATTGCTATCTTTTAAGTTTCTGTCAAGTGTCTTCATTGCCATGACACTCACTTTGTGAAAATGGTCACTTAGTAACACTAACAATCCAAGCTATTGTATTCATTTAACTGTTAATTAGAGAGAGAGAGAGAGAGAGAGAGGGAGAGAGAGGGAGAGAGGGAGAGGGAGGGAGGGAGGGAGGGAGAGGGGGAGGGGGAGAGAGAGAGAGAGAGAGAGAGAGGGAGGGAGGGAGAAGGAGAGAGGGAGAGAGAGGGAGGGAGGGAGGGAGAGGGAGGGAGAGGGGGAGGGGGAGAGAGAGAGAGAGAGAGAGAGAGTGGCTGCCTAGAGGGTTAGCTTTATAATATTGATATACTGGTGTGTTTGATTAGTAAAGGAGGGGTAGACTCAGTGATTATTGTTTTTATGAGTTTGTCATTTGTTAGCTTAACCTCAAAGACAATTTTGTGTATGTACGTGTACATGTACATAAACTACATGTACTAATGAATGGGTGAGCACGTCATACATGCATCATATGTACATGACTAATTCAATTTTACATGCAATGAGAATTTAATGCTCTATATGACTGGAGATTAGTGTTTGTGTATTTTATACCCAATGCTTATCAAACTTATGATGACGGCAGTTTTCCTAACGTTTTGATTCTGAATATCTTTCATCATGATAACCGCAGCATTATGATAATTGGCATTGAAATTTATACAAGTTTGTGTGTCTGTCTGTCTGCATGTTCTTGTGGTCTCATTATCATATTTTATGAATTATTACAGCATGTACTGTACATGTATGTACATTATATACATGTACGTGTGTTGTACATTATATATATGTGTGTGTGTGTGTGTGTGTTATGCTTCTAGTTTTTGTGTGTGTCATGTAATTATAATTGTGTGATAATTATGACACGTATTCCACGCATCATTAATCAGTAAGTATGTCAATCACTCTTATACAATGTACATGTACATGTACATGTGTTATTTTATGATGTGTGTATGTGTGTGTGATTGGAGTATAAATACATACATGTACAGCATAGTGATTATCGTTTCTAGTTTTATGTATTATTATTATTATCATTATTATTATCATCATCATCAAAGAAATTATTGCTATTATTACATCATCGTAATGTTTACATTTATTATTATTATTATTATTTTTAGAGGCTCAATATTTAAGAGTGGGCATAATGTCTGCTGGTGACTCCCTCTCTTCCGTTCACTCTCCACCAGTTTACCAATCTGTACAACATCTTGTGGATAAGAAGGGTAATGAGAGAGAGAGAGGGAGAGGGAGAGAGAGGGGAGGGAGGGAGAGAAAGAGAAAGGGAGGAAGGGGGAGAGAGAGAAAGTGATAAAATAATCAAAGAGCAATTAAGGAAGTGAATGTGAAGAGTGTTATAGTATGGGGAGAGGGTACATGTACATGTATGTGTACATGTACACGTGTACATTACATGTTAGGTGTGGATGATTTACATGTATAGTACTATATTGGTTGCATGTATAGGTAATGATGTAATGGTGTGACTTAATCTTACGTATGCACAGTGTGTTCTGCACTGATGATGTAAGTGCATTTATATCTTTAAGACACTCCATTATCCTGGCACTGGTAATGCAAACATTTCTACGAGTTATACTTTGAATGGCCAACTCTTCCCTTTGGAATGTATGGAGCTCATTCTCCTTTTGATTCACTGGATGGATTGATCTCCTTGGCCTGTCTTGTATTTCAATAGTGATGCCAATCCCATGCTGTCTATATGTACATTCTTGCCATTTTTCTTCCTCTTTTCTTAATATGGTTTGAGTGACAGTGTACATGAAGCTATAAATTCTCTCTTTCTTTTTCTCGTTCGTTTCCTCTAATTGTGTCCGTTCCTCCTTCAGGTCGTTTATGGCAGGAGAAGACTCTAGTCATTAAACCTAATGATCATGGCTATGGCTTCTCACTCTCCGGAGAGAAGCCTGTATTTGTTGATAGTGTGGTTGATGGGGGACCTGCTTATAAGGTAAGGCTTGTTTGTAAGTCTATCATGTATTGTTGTGTTCTACTGATAATGTTTGTATTGAGTTTATTGATTTAATTCTGAACATATTTAATTCTTTTGTTTTATTGTCATTCTCGCTCTCTCTCTTCCCCACCACACCCTCCTCTCTCCCTCCCTCTCTCCCTCCCTCCCTCAGGCTGGTATAAGGCCTCAGGATCGTCTCCTTAAAGTTGATGGCCAGTCTGTATTTGATAAGACACACACTGAAGTAGTGAACCTTTTAAAAGGTACACAATAGCTCTCATGTGTTCATCATGTGACCATTTATACCATTTACAGGAGCAACTGTTGTCTCACTGACTATTATTACGCAATACACTCAAATTTCAAGAGACCAATCTGATGTGAGTACAACTTTCCTTTATGAAAATCACTACTATCTACTACTACTCTTCCTACTATATCTCTATTGAGTCTTATCCTAATTGTTAGTCCTGTATATTCTCGTTCCTTTAGACTTCAGGTGGTGCTGGCCTACAGATGATACAAGAGCTGACATTGAATGCGTTGAGGACAATGTTAGAGAAACAGCAGAGCACATATGAGCAGCTGGTAGTGGATTATTCAAAAGGAGCCAGCACCAAACTAGAGCAAGAGGTATGAGCATGGGGGCTAATTTTTTAATTATGTGTGTGGGCGGTTTGATTACTATAGTGTGGTTTTATGTTCTTTTTTTTTTTGATCCCAATTCATGTGTTCTAGATAAGAGAATGTGAGGATACTATTAAGACACTGAAAGCTGAGATAGCAGTTAAAGCAAGCTCTGTTGTTGATGTAAGTGCATGCTATTGATAGATTATCATCATCATCATGAAATTCATTATTATTGTTATTATTATTATTATTATTCAGACTGTAGCCCAGACTACTGAGGCTAGTATTAATACACTGCTGGGTAGCGATAAAGCTTCAGAGAGACGTGGGAGACTAGCAAGAGAAGACTCACTCCTAGCACAGAAGATACTCTGCACTGTATGTTAAACTACCATTGTACATTATAGCTGGTGATTTTGAAGGGGATAAAATTTGGCAATTTTAACACCAAATTAAAGCCCAATATTTGTACCATTATGTGCATGCTCAATGGCACTTGGCCACAAAATTTTTCCCATCCAAATTATCCGTTATACTGCCCTCTTTATGCACTTCTACTGTCTAATGTCTTTAAGATAATGACATGTGTTCTACATGTACTTTTGTAAACTAAGTTTTGGTAGGGGGAGCCATGTTTTTTTAAGCCATGAAGGTTTGTTTTAAGTTATACACGTTAGGTTTGTCTTTTGTTTTTTTTAGATAACAGCTGATGATGAGAGTGAGAGCTCTAATTTTCCTTCTCATCACTCCTCCTCCTCCCCTTCTACAGTACCTCAGTCGTCTCTCTCTCTTACTTCAAGCACTGCCACTAAATATAAAAGCCCTAAAATGTTCCGGAAGCAAGTAAGCAAATTAGAGCTAGTGGGATTTTATTCTTTGATACATATACTGTACATGGTACATACATGTACTTCAATATACATGTACATGTCAATTTAGATGTACATGTACATGTATGATTTATAAAACATAAGAATAACATGCATTGGACATTCACGTTCACACATAAACATGCTCCATAATTTTATCACAACTATGCATGTACATGTACATTAATTGTGGATGCATGTACACGTGTATTGTGTAACTTTATTTATAAGTGTATGTATTAATTTATGGCAGATTCTCTTTTATCTCATTATGTCTCCTCCTATAGTCCATACCCAAGGCTCAGATACAGCAGGTTGATTCAGCTCCTCACAGTCGGACAGCTTCTCCTACAAAGGTTGTAAGGACTCAGTCAGTTCTCAATGACTCGGACCTCTCGGACGAAGATCTTGAGTTTGGAGTAAGTATAATTATGCAGGGTTTACCACAAAGCATGCTAAGTGAGCTAAACAGCATGAGCTTCATGAGCTGACAAGCACTACAATACAGTACATGACTTTTGGAGCAACTTCGAAATTTCGTTAAAAAAGCAAATTTGATCGGAAACAACTCAAACTTTTGGAGCAATATAAGAACATGTATATGTATCTGAAAAAAATATTATAATGAAGAATGCTCTCCTAGTCATTTTTGGCCAAGATTCTGTACTATACAGGGACTTGAACTTGATTTTGAGTAACTTTAAAATTTATAAAAAATGTGCCGCTATGCCACAATCCTGTGAGAAGTCTGCATATAATGATACTATTATCAGTTTATTAATTTTATTATTATTCTCTTATTTGTGCATAGGCTCCTCATTACGGACCTTTCTCTTCTTTACAAGAATTAAATAATTATCCTGGTAAGAGAAAGAGAGAGAGTTTAATGGAGTCAAGTGAATTACATCCACCCTCTCTCCCGTTCCTTTCCTTTTCCTAATTGTGTAGCTCACATGTCTGTGTTTCTTCATTATCTCTTCCAAAATAAAGAGCCAAAATATTTAGTGAGTTAAATATGATCCGTTAGCTTCCTCTAATTTCATTTTCTTTCCTTTTATTTTTCTTGCAGTGTTTTTATCTTGTTGCTCACAGTTATCAGAATCACTACAAAGGTAGTGAATTGAAACAAAGAGGACTCGAAATAATGTGGACATTCTGTTTCCCAACATCAGTGAGTGCATGTCACTCTTGCATACACAATACATGTACATGTACATGTACATGTATGTACATTTACATTTACAGTCAGTACATGTGTTACATTGCATAAAAACATACTGCCATCTATTCTAGTGACATTATTGATATTTCCTATCTTTTTTCTAGCCTTTATTTGTTGGGCTAACCGATTCTGTTAGAACAAAGATACTTGATACTTTAGAAAACGAAGAAAATGAGATGAAGCTGAAGAGTGTCTTTGTAGAGTCGAGAGATGTCGTGGCCTATCAGATTGCAGATGATCTGACAGCGTATAGACACAAGAGGACACTGGGTCTGGGTAGCATGTATGGGGAACAACAACTTACAGGTTTGAACTGATAACTAAGCTCTCTCTCCTTCCCTCTCTACTATACTATCCCAATGTTTCATTTTATATTACCATACCATACCATCTCTCTCTCTTTCTCTCTCTCTCTCTCTCTCTCTCTCTCTCCAGATCACATGACTCCAGCTAAAGAGAGTGAAACTTCAAACACCACTCTGATCAGAATTCTAAAAGACATCATGTAAGTATATTTATTGAACACTTAAATCACTGCATGTACTTGTTATATCTGATTTTTTTTCTAGCTCTGACAGAATAGACGGAGTAGAAGACATCAATAAAAAGTGAGTGTCAATATAGATCATACACATGACTCTCTCCCCTTTCTTATTACAGCCATGCATTATCAGATTCAGTCAGTACTTTTCTAATGGACATCAACAAAGGAAAGGTACCTTTATAAATTAAACTACACCTAAATGTATGTATCACATATTACATAGATGTATTATATTAATGTATAATATATATGTACACATTATACATGTCCTTTATATTCTCTTTTAGGCAAAGTTTGATTCATCAATTGCCGACCGGATGCAAAGCTTCACAAGGACAGAGCTGAGCAAGAGGAAGAGTGGGAAGACAAAGAAGCAGTCCAAGTGTGGCCATAGCTTCCAGCTGTCATCGTACCAGAAGCTCACAATCTGTCATCATTGTGATAGAGTCTTATGGGGCATACTGTACCAGGGATACCAGTGCAGTGGTGAGCAGTATAGTACTATTGGTAGATATACATGTACAGGTAGATTAGCAGTAGTCCAGTTAATGTACATGTACAATATACATGTACATGTACATCACTGTATATCGTATTGATATTAATGTAATGTTGCCCATGTTTGTGCTTTGTTAATGGAGGGAAAGTTTTGTTATAAAGAATAACAAATAAGTTCATACAAGGCTATTGTGTATATCTCCAACAGATATTCTAACTTAATCCTAAAGTATGCACCATTGAACCAAACCTTATCAATTTAATCTCTTAATCTCTTAATTCTCAAAAGTACACCTGCTGCTTCCTATAAGCTTCATGTACTGTAGGTCCAATTATTGTGTTGTGTCACTATGTGATTAAGTGTGTTTGTGTGCTAGTGATGGTTTCTGTTTATTGTCTATCATTATAGTCTGTGAGATGAATGTCCATCGGTATGGCTGTATCGATGAGAATCTCGAGACTTGTTCTGGTAAGAAGAAAAAGAAGTTTCACGACAGAAAAGCTAGTGGAGGTCTGTGCCATGTATAACATGTACCATCCATATGATGCTTGTAGATATGTTATGTAGATTTATATGTACAATGTACATTACTATACACATGTACATGTATTTGTTATCATGGTTGTGGTTATTCTATTAGGTTATACCAGTAGTCACTCTACTTCTGAATTAGACAAAGGTACATTATTATTGATATGTACATGTAATGTAATGTATGCCTAATTGCATATACAGTATTTATAATGTTGATTAAGTCATGAGAGAATCTCTCTCTCTCTCTCTCTATTATTTAGATTCTGAGCCTCCTCCTCATATTTCTGCTGCCGATAATGCTCACATGTTTGACGATGATTCGGGATTCAGATCAAGGCGTAGATCAGTCTCTGATCCAAAACAGACCCTAATGGGAGTTAACGTAAGATATCAGTATCAGAACTAGTATCGTGTTAACACTGATATCTCTTGTTCAGTTGGAAAAGGAAGAACAGAGTGTCCAAGAAGAGATTTACTATCAAAAGAAAAAGAAATCAGCGTAATAATTATTTTAATTATATGCATGTTTATTTTATTTATTTGTGTCTAAATATTCTTTTTTTCTTTTCTACACAGTGCAACTGTCTCAAGGACACAATCAGTAAGTAATTATATGTACATGTACATTTACACAATTCATCTTCAACTTCCTTCCTCTAGCTCAAGGAGAGGAGATCAGATGGTACAGTACCTGTGGCCTCAGGTCACCCTCAAAGCAGTCAAGACACTTCACTAAACACGACTCCATCTTGGACAAGCGTAGCATCCTCATCCTCAGTCTCTGATGAGAGTCTCAACAATAGTTCTCTAACCTCAAGCTCAGTCCCTACTTCCGCTGGACCACTAGGAACCACCGGCATCATCAGGGGGAGCACCCTGGACACTGTGATTGAGGACGGGAAAGGAATGAGATCAAAGTCACCATTCTTTGACGAAGAGACACTCGTGAGTGAGGGAGAGGGGGAGTGTGTGCATGTGAGCCAAGTGTAGAGAGACGTAGTGGTTTCTGCTAAAGTATTGAATGGTAGTTATTATTATTTTCTTGTATTAGTTGGAGTTAAAGGAAGCAGACGTCGATGAAGAGCTAATACCATGGTCGCTATCAACAGCATCAAGTGTAAGAGACTGATAGAACTACTACATACACTGACACGTCTGATATAACATGTACCTTATTGAGTCTGTAAATAATTTCATTTGGGTGTGTGTCTCTCGATATCTCTTTAGGTTGTTAAACGTCTTCAAAAGTTTGAGGTACAGAGACAAGAGCTACTGAAGGAGTTTATACATACTGAGAGGACACACTTAAAGAAACTAGTCACCATGAAACATGTGAGGCAATATATTATGTACATGCATGTACACCCATCACCCTTTTCCTTCTTCTCTTTTATAAGATACATATACATGTACATGTACATGCATGTGCAGATATCATGTAGTTATCATGTTTCACCATGAAACATGTGAGGCAATATATTATGTACATGTACACGGTATACCCTTTTCCTCTTTCTTTTTTGTATAAGATACATATACGTATACCTGTACATTTACATGTACATACATGCATGTGTTACATGTACATGTATACTTTAGTCAGTACATGTGCAGTTGTGCACATATCATGCAGTTATCACATGTTATTGTTGTTATGTTGCGTCTGTTGGTGTTTTTGTTACAGATATACAGAAATCCGTTATATCAGGCTGGGCTCCTATCTCTTCAACAAACCGAATCACTCTTTCCTAGTCTGGATAGACTAGTAGAACTACACAGTATGATGATGATGATTATTATATATTATTTCATTTTTAATTTCTTCTCTTCTCCTCCTCCATTAGATAGTTTCTGTAATGAGTTAAAGGAGAGGCAGGCTCAGTATTATGATGGTGTAGTCCACAAGATTGCAGACATTTTTCTAGCCAGAGTCAGTCCTTTTTATCTCTTTTTAGACATTGAAACTTACTTCCTCTTATTTCCTTTTCCATCTCTTGTAGTTTGAAGGCAAGCCTGGCGAGCAGTTAAGCAACGCTTGTGCTATTTTTGCTTCGAATCAATCAAAGGCCGAAAAACTCATCAAAGAATACTCTGCAAAAATACCAAAATTCAAAAAATTCCTTCAAGTTTGTAGATTGTACAACATCATGCATTCTTTTCTTATGTTTACACGCACATGTAGTATATTCTCTTCTTTTTATATTTTTATCTTTGCTATTTCTTTTTCTTAGGATGCTGAGGCCAATCAGTATTGCCATCGTAGATCCATCAAAGAGTTGCTGCCCTGTGTGTGGACCAGACTCACCCGCTATCAGTTGTTATTGGAGCAAATTCAAAAACTAAACAAGAAGCACTTTGATAAGTTAAAACGTAAGTAAAGGAGGAGAGGGAGAGAGACGGGGTCAATCATATCATGTCTTTCATTCATTTTATGATCTCTCTCTCTCTCCCTTCCTCCCTCCCTCCCTCCCTCTCTCTCTCTCTCTCTCTCTCTCTCCTATAGCTGAAGATAAAGAGGAGTCTGAGAAGTTAAGTGTAGCTTTTGACTGTGTACGTAACATACTGGTGTATGTGAATATGGTCGTTAAGCAAACAGAGAACAGACAGAAGCTCCAGGACTATCAGTCCAGACTCGACTCGTCTCAAATTGACAGATCGACCCATCAGATCACAGAGAAATACAAGGACATTAACTTGACGGCAGAAGGAAGGATACTTCTCCATGAGGGAATACTGACATGGAAAATATCACACAGAAAAACAGTCGGTTAGTAAGAGAGAGAGATTGAGTGAGAAAAGATTTATATGTACATGTACATGCACATGTATAAAAGAGGCCTGGAGTAGAACAGATCCAATGCTTATTAGTTATTTTGTTCATGTACATGTACATGTACATGTAACTGTAAAGAATTTACAAGCTGCTACCATACACTCTTCACTGTATAGACACTGACTATGCATACATTGAAAGACAACCTTTAGATATTTACTATAAGATTAGTATTGCTATTTTTATATTAATAATTGCAAAACATCATTTTGTTTGTATTATTACTCTCTTATAGAGGTTAAAGCACTCCTGCTCAGTGACATATTAGTGTTACTACACAATCAAGAAGACACTGATAAAGTGATACTGAAACAGTACCACATTGAGCCAATAGGAGTGGGTGAAGTGAGAGAAGAGATATCACCAATAATAAGAGTAAAGGAAATGATACTGAGACATTATGCTACTGATAAAGGTAGTAGTAATAATAATAATAATAATAATGATAATAATAAATAATAATGATAATAATAATAATAATGATAATAATAATAATGATAATAATAATAATAATGATAATAATAATAATGATAATAATAATAATAATAATAATAATGATAATAATAATGATGATGATGATGATGATGATGATATATGGCAATTATAATATTTTTATTTATTTTAATTAGGTGGGCGGTCATTCTTGGTTGTTAATAACAGTCAGTTAATGAAGCGAGCTCAAATGTACGAGTTTACAGCCGAGAGTGCCCAAGAGAAGAAGAAATGGGAGGATAACATTGAGAATGCTATGAAAGGAAAATGTAAGAGAGAGAGAGAGAGAAAGTGAGAGAGAGAGGGGGGGTAAAGGAATTAATAAATAAAGAATTTGAGGTAGAGGAAGAGAACAAAATGGAGTGAGTGTGTGTGTGTGTAGTCATGTGACTTCTTATATTTATATTTTTATTTTGATTCTGTAGATGATATATTGCCTGAATTACTGTCTCCTACAATAGAAGAAGATACTTCATTCTCTCAACAGATTCCACTCATCCCTCGCATGTCCACAGTTGCACTCAGAGGTAGGTAGCAGGCATCCTTATGCAATATAAAAGTTTGTGCTGTTTTCAACAAAATAATGTCAATTTTTTGAGTTATGGCCTTATTTTAAAATATAATATTTTCTGAAAAGTACCCAAGGCTATAGCCCATGGTTTTTTCCAAAAATTGGCTCCGAAATCACCCCCAATTTTTATTACATTTTCTGATACATATTGATGTACTTATGCTATGTAGAAGGTTTGAGTTGATTCCGACTTCAATTTTTTGAGTTATTGCCATTTTAAAAAATTGGCCATTTTCTGAAAAGTACCCAAGGCTATAGCCCATGGTTTTTTCCAAAAAATGGCTCCGAAATCACCCCAAATTTTTATTACATTTTCTGATACATATTGATGTACTTATGCTATGTAGCAAGTTTGAGTCGATTTCGACTTCAATTTTTCAAGTTATCTATATAGCTATATTAACTAGTGATGGCTTTTATGCATTTTTAATGCTTGTTAAAAGCTGCAAGCATGATAACCTCAATTCCTGTAGAGATTTTCAGGCAATAAAAAGAGCTAGCCAAATTTAGGCTCATCCTTTAATATTTTTAATTCATCTAGTACATTAGTATTACTATTCCTTCCATTACAGAGCAACTTGATAAGATTGATGACAGCATACAGAAGCAGTTACAGGAGAAGTTGTCTCTCCTTAGGTCATTACAAGTAAGGAGAAGTTATGAGTGAATGATGAGGTTAATAATTTTGAATTTTATTTTATTTTTAGGCCGTAAACAAAGACGATAGCATAACCTCAGTCACTGTGAGTCGCCTTTTCTATTATTTTTTGTTTTAATTTATACTTTTATTTTTAATCGTAGCATGCTTCACCAGCTAATGTAGTTGAAACCTCTTCAATAATATTTCACACCGGTGAGCTCTTGTGTATATATTTCTTTATTTATTAAATTTTATTTATTGTCTTATAGTTGGTGAACTGACATCTCAAGTCTCCAAACTATTAGTACCAAATCCAACCAAACAGATAGTAACTGATGTACAGGTACAGTATAGCATGAGTGTATTAAATACCTTTTTATTCATATTGTATAGTACCAGTTGGCTGAACTGACCAGTCACCTACACAGTGGACTATCAGAGCTATTAGTAAGTCAAGAGTTTTTGAGCACCTTTTAATTATAACTTATTCTTATAATCAGATGTCACTTGGTAAAGAAGGTATATTGCAGACTCTTGAGCGAACAACATCATCAGGTTTGTCAACTAATTCATTTATTGCTATTAAATACTCTTTCCCTTTCACAGATGACCCTCCTGCTTCGCCCCAACTAGATGTAAGTTTTTTTTTTACTTTTAATATCATTATAATTATTTATTTAATTTTGAATTCAATTGTAGGAGACATCAGATGCCGCAACAGTCAGTCCTTCAGATGAACAGTACATCATGATTAACGAGTCCACGCCCAATGCCACGCCTCTTCCTAACGGCACACACTCCAGCCCCCACATAAGTGAACACGTTCCTCTTGCGTTACCATCAGACGATAAAAGACTCCCCTCTGTTCTCAATAGAGGAGAGTGTATTGATCAGGAGTCAGATGATGATGATGAAGGAGGCTCACCTCCTCCTCTACCTCACAAGCCTCCTCCCTCCAGTAGTAGCGCTAGCTCTGCCACGCCCCCAGATCTCCTTGACGACGAAACCCCGCCTATATTGCCGAGAGCATGTAGCGAGTTTTCTATGGAGTCTTACGACATTCAGTCGGATAGTTATCACCAGCTGATAGCACCGCCCGAGGGGTTTTCAGACTTTCCTGATCCTCCTCCAGAGCAGAAGGAAAGAGTGACAAAGGGAGATAGTCCGCCAAAGCGCTCAATGTCTGACAACGTTAAGAAGGAAGGCTTTAGACGTGTTCGCTCCAACCCGTCCATAGTTAGCACTAAGGTAATGAGTGTCATATCTTCAGCCTCCTCTAGCAGCAGTGGGGGTAGTGGTAATAACGCTAAGTTTGATTCTCCTTCTCTTCCTCCCTCTGTACTATCAAATAATTCAATGAAAAGAACTAACAGTGAGACTGCTCCTTTACCTGATGAGAATGAATATGTCATCAAGTTAAAGGAGTCCGCTGAGGGAGAGAATTAGTTTTTAATTATTATTGAATTCATTATGATAGTCATTATTATTATTATTATCGTTATCGTTATTGTTGCTTGTAATCTTTTGTTTTTTTTCGGTGTAATAATAAACGTGATTTTATTGTTTTGATTGATCTTGTGTGTATTATTTGTTACCATGCATCGTGTAAACTTATTTTTAACAATTTTACACTTCAAAATTCAAACAATAATGACCCAACATGCTACTACATGTATGTGTTAGATCTACTTAGAATTGATGATGATTGGATTGCTGATCGTATGGAGAATCCACAAGAATATGATGAACAACATGTTTCTGTTAGACTGGATGATCTTGCAAAGGCTACTGATGAATCTATTGATGAACCGATTACTATTAACATAACTCCTACCTATGGTAGTGTATAACAGCATCTATACCAGTAATGTAAAGTGGAGAATTTTTGTGCTTTGTTTGTGACTAAATACAGATGATTTAGATTCATATTTTATTTGTGTTGGTTTATTAATATTTAACTAGATCTATTTATGTTAAATAATAAACATGATTAATTTTTATTTTTTTGATTGATCTTCTGTGCATTATTTGTTACCAAGCATTGTGTGATCTTATTATTTTAAAAATTTTACACTTAAAATTCGAAAAAAATAATTATGACTCATAGATCTATACATGATGTTCTTTTTATTCTTCTTGTACTAAGGTATGATGTTATTGTGTTGAAATCATGTGATAAGCATTCTACTGCTGACCAGTCTTGCCTATAGTTTTAATCAAAACTGTGAATTGTTACCATAGTTGTGACTTACTCCTACGATGTTTCCTGTTAAAGTAGTCTTCTTTTTTGTTTCTCTTGTTTTGTCTGCTGCTAGTTTGGAGTGTAGGATCTATGTCAGTTCATCTGATAGTATCAACAATACCTCTTGTTGGACTGGAGGAGTTCAAACACCTTGTGCTACTCTTGATCTAGCTATACAAGGAGCAGCTACTCTACAATACAACTGTTCATCAGGTATCCTTATCAACCTGTCTCCTGGTACATATACACTAGACACTACTAGTCTACTAGAGCAACAGCTACTGAGGAATAATGTGAGTATTATTGGTATGAGGGATGGTAGTGGATATGAAGAGGTTAGCATCACGTGTCTACATGTTTCCTCTTCTTCATATAACTGGTTGAAGCATATTGCATTTCAATATGTTAGTCTTTATAATTGTAACAATGTTCCTGTTACATGTACTGAACCAAATTATTCTCCCATATCACTGGATATGTGCTCGTATCGTTTTCAACTAAATGTGTCATTCACAAATCTACCTCTGAGTTGTAGTTTTCACCAGGTACTGTCAAGTGATGGCTGTAAGTGTGAGAGTCTTAAGTTTACAGCTTCTGTTGTTGATGAAGTTAACAGTGATGTGTATGATTGGAAGAATGATCTGTACGTCTGTATTGACGATACTTGCTCTATTGTAATCAATAATAATTCTGAATATTCACTGTCTTCCTTGTGTTTTAATGAGGAAATAATTAATGTTACCATGGAAAAGGAGGTCTACATTGGAACATTGGGCCCAATTAATGCTAGTATTAATTTAACAGCTAATGTTACAGGTGTATGCAATTGGAAATGCTATCCCTATTGTGAGCAAAAAGCATATAAACCTGGTATTGCCTGCTTTTCGCTTTGTGAGCCTTTCAACTACACCTGTAATGATTGTTGTTTTGACAATGAAACTAATC